CGAGCGAACAATGACAGTATTCACAAATAGGCTATTGGGCTGTTAACTAGAAAGGTCTTAAAGACTCATGAGCAACATAACATTTGTCACAAGATGTAAGATGACTCACTTTGTGTCCAGAAACACCTACAAAAATTGGAGAATGGTCTACTTTATTGGGCATCTCTCTTAATGGGCCAGGATTAACGGGTGATACTCGTAAAATATCTGTTCCATATTGACGAGTCCAACTCGGCGCGCGTCCTGGTAGGTTGTAAACCTACAAGGCCAGGACAGCAGCATATTTGTGTCTTACGAAAGGGCAATTTTTAAAATTACGGTTTCTTAAGGTCAAAGGATCGGCTGCTAACAGCAAATTGTTCCCAATTGCCGACTCATGCACATCATATACCCAAAAACGCTCACTTTAGGAGTCATTAGTAAATAACTACTACATGATTTGTGACAACTCCAAAAATTTTTCCTTGGCACCAACTTAAATAAAATGTGTTGACCAAAATTCAACTTCAAACTTTTTATTTATTCATGCCATGAAACCATGATATATGTACCAATAATACCGGACCTCAAATAAATCGGCACTGGATCCGGGCCAGATTGTTCCTTGACCGCTGACCAATACCCCACTTTATAATTATGATTGATTTCGCTGCCTCGACCAATATTGATCTGTAATCCCTGGATTGAGATCTGTTGGCCGCAGTTTAATTTAGCTAATTTCCTATAATACCGCAGTGGTTTGGTTCCCACTTCAGAATGACCCCATATTCTTTTTTTCAGTCGCATAGATTTTCCCATCGTATGATAATGCGTGCCATTCCCTCGTTTTTTAATCAAGTGGTGACTGGCTAGTTCTTCTGTTATTACAGCTGTGAGCTGCCTCGAGATCTTATCTGGGGCATGGGCACTTATACTAGAACATTAGAACTGTAATTCTAGAACCTTAGATTAAGGTTACTTGGCAGAATAGCATTAGCAGGGTTCGAGATTTGACTGAGGGTATTCAGGTAACATACCAGGTTCATGTCACCAGTTGAGGTGAATCTTAATTTCGGCATGCAATGCCTAATAAGTTATAAGCTTATAGTAGGATCACGGGGTTTATATAATAGAAGGTCTCGAGATGCTGATTTAGCTATTTAGGTTTCACATGTGACATTTTTCCAGCTTTGGGTAAAGTGGATTTTAGATCGAGGAGGGGGTCTAAATGACCAAAATCTGAACGATCTCTTACTTACGGGGCACTACGGGACAAGGGACGGATATCAGGCCCAATAGCTGTTTTTTAATGAGAGGCTGGGGTATGGACCTAGATGGTCAACGTGAGGATAGCATGAGGATTTAGGATGCTCTGCCTGCCTTTCATGGGGTCTTGCAACCCCGAAAGCTGGTATATCTTATCTAAATTAACCTTGGTTACATCCCGTGCTGTTTCGAATATATAATTAGATTTATAGGTCCAATATCAAGCAAAAAAGTCTGATCTCCGGTACTGATGTTACACTTACATGATCTCCGACGCGAGGATCTCCGAAGTCCGATCTTAAAGTTGGATCTCAGAGCCAAAAAGAGGGAACCTAAGCCTTGGTTCCTCTCTTTGAGAGTCAAACAGGAAATTCGGTGTTATCAACTCAAACTCGGATTCGTAGCACAATTGAAAAACCAAAGAATAAAAACCTTAATGGATTTCCCGACATCCTAAAATTAATATCAGGTCGTATTCGATTCAGTGGCCCAAACTCCAGTAGGTTAAAAGACTTAAGTTCAAGTCGAGGAACACTTTGATTAAGCATTATCCTTGTCTAGTTGGAGTTTTCGCATATCATGCAGTTATGCAGTAGTAAAATCTACCAATCACTCCTAAACTGAGCGTTTTAGAGTCGAATCTCGAACCCTGCCATTCAGCCAAGTAATCTTAATCTGAAGTTCTAGAATTACAGTTCTAATGTTCTAGTACTAATGTATTAGTGCCCTAGATAAGATCTTGAGGCAGCTGTAATAACAAAAAAACTAGCTATAAGTAATCACTTGATTAAAAAACGAGGGAATGACACACATTATCATACGATGGGAAAATCTATGCGAACCAAACCACTGCGGTATTACTATTATGGTAAATGAGCTAAATTAAACTGCAGCCAACATATCTCAATCCAGCGATTACAGATCAATATTGGTCGAGGCAGTGAAGTCAATTATAATTATAAAGTGGGGTCCGGATCCAGTGCCGAATTATTTTAGGTCCGGTATTCTAAGAGTCTTAGTACATATCATGGTTTTATGGAATGAATAAATTAAAAGTTGAATTTTTGTCATTACATTTTGGCTAAATTGATGCCAATGAAAAATTGTTGGAGTTTTCACAAATCATGCAGTAGTTAAACTTATTTACTAATCACTCCTAAAGTGAACGTTTTTGAGTATATGATGTTCATGAGTCGGCAATTGCAAACAATTTGCTGTTAGCAACTGACCCTTTCACCTTTACTTTGACCTTTACTAAAGAAACCGTAATTTTGAAAAATTACCCTTTCGTAAGACACAAGTATGCTGCTGGCCTGCCCATTATGAGAGATGCCCAATAAAGTAGATCATTCTCCAATTTTTGTAGGTGTTTCTGGACACAAAGTGAGTCATCTTACATCTTCTGACAAATGTTATGTTGCTCATGAGTCTTTAAGACCTTTCTAGTTAACAGTCCAATAGCCCATATTTGTGAATACTGTCATTGTTCGCTAGGCAAAAATCCGTTTTTCAGCCACGTTTCCGAAAATAAGCCTTTTAGGGTATATGTTGCTTCATAAGTTGTATATAAATGTGGCCATTATGTACATTTTAGTGTATCAGAATAGTCTCTACGACCTTCCTAGGCGGAAATGCCAAAAATCACGGAAATTATGAACTGCGTCAAGCCAAAAACCATTTTTCGGCCATATTTCCGAAACAAAACATTTTAAGGTATAAGTTGCTTCATAAGTTGTAAATAAATGGGGCTATTAGGCACATTTTGGTGTATCGGAATAGTCTTTAAGACCTTCCTGGGCCGAAATACAAAAATTCGAGTGACCGCGAAACACTGAAAAAGGGTGTGGCCGAAAACGCCCTCATTGCATTTATTTCAAAAATGCAATGAAGTCCAAATGTTTTAAGAATCATCTAGAGAGGTGATAACCGTTGAGAAATCGCTTTTAACACGAAAAGCTAACGAGATTCCGTTTCGTCCCAGACTATATCAAATAAAAATTGGGTCGTTTCGAAACAGGATTGTTATCAGCAGGGACAGGTTATTATACGATCAATTAACGCTGTAACACTGGTAATTAAGGCTGTGACACTGGCAATTAACACTGTGACACTGGTAATTAACGCTGTAACACTGGCAATTAACGCTGTGACACTGCAGTATTCAACGTTGTGACACTGGTAATTAACGCTGTGACACTTGCGCTGGTAATTAACTCTTTGACACTGGTAATTAACGCTGTGACACTGGCAATTAACGCTGTGACACTGGTAATTAACGCTGTAACACTGGCAATTAACACTGTGACACTGGTATTCAGCGCTGTGACACTGGTAATTAACGCTGTGACACTGGTATTCAACGTTGTGACACTGGTAATTAACGCTGTGACACTGGTAATTAACGCTGTAACACTGGTAATTAACGCTGTGAACTGGTAATTAACGCTGTGACACTGGTTATTAACGCTGTGACACTGGTTATTAACGCTGTGACACTGGTAATTAACGCTGTAACACTGGCAATTAACACTGTGACACTGGTATTCAGCGCTGTGACACTGGTAATTAACGCTGTGACACTGGTATTCAACGTTGTGACACTGGTAATTAACGCTGTGACACTGGTAATTAACGCTGTAACACTGGTAATTAACGCTGTGAACTGGTAATTAACGCTGTGACACTGGTTATTAACGCTGTGACACTGGTTATTAACGCTGTGACACTGGTAATTAACGCTGTAACACTGGTAATTAACGCTGTGACACTGGTAATTTCGTATTTTAGGTTGATAACTTGATAAAAATAACAAGTGCAGGCAGAGCCCTGCACTTTATCACGACTGACAATGAGCCAGACTTTATCAGACGGAACTCAACTGAGCTCTTGATTTGGTATGTTCTTAAATTATCAGCATTAATTTACAAATATTAATCTGCTCACATAAACAATGTACGTCTATCCTACAATTATTTTGATGGCTTAGTTGAACTTTCAAATGTTTAGGTATTTCTATCGATTTCATAATAATTGTAAACAACTTTTTAAAAATATAAAACTGAAATGTAATGCATTATATTACATACCCCTACTTGTTTGGTATATTTGCACGTGTCAAAAGAAAGAACTGAATGTCAATGTTTTAACTGATCTGTTTTTCAGGATAACTAATGGACATAGTCATGAATAAATCTACTAACTATTCGACTGAGAAGCACGAAGATCCCTGGAGTAGTACCAGACCACTATAATCGGGATGCACGAAAACACGGGACTATAACTTTGCAGTCACCAGAATCCATAAACTAGTAAGTTACTTGAAAAATTTGTTTTCTTACTTCTTTACAACTTTTAGCAACATATTTTTAGACATAAATCGATGTTTAACATACACAAAAACTTATTAATGTAACATAGTTCAATCTTTTCAAGATGCAGTTAACCTAGTGAAATAGAAGTTTACAATCTTGGATTGCAAAGAATTTATGTACATGAAAATGTAAGTCGACGGAATATGGAATAAAGGAAAACAATTTTTTGCAGCTGAGCCCACAATAATATTTTTTTTGTTTTCCTGCGTTTTTCTTGATATCATCAATTTCTTTATAGTTCTAGTATAAATTCCAAACACTTTTAAACGTCACAGGTTTTGAGGTCCACTCCTAGATAAAAGCAGACGAGAGTTCCTGGAACTGATTAGCAACACTGGTCATGAAGCGGATCAGATTCTTCTCGAAGACAATTACAAGCTTAAAGTTAAGATAAGATACACAAGCTTTTGATCGAATGATTGTGTGTATTAGTATTCGGCGATTAGCTTTGTGCCAATGACGATTGAATGTTGGCGAAATTTTTCTGTTTCTTTATTGTTATTTTGTACCACAATCATTTTCAAATACCCATGAAAATAATTTACATTTGATGCACCAGCAGAGAGAGTGCAATCGCATTAGCATAAAGTATCTTTATCTTAGCTAGCCTGTGATTTTGAATTTACATGATCTTTGCTGAAGGGATATACGAAATTCTAATCTTATTATCTCTCAACAATGCAGGGTATGGTAATTAATGTCACTTTTAAACATGAACATTTGCAGGTGAATTGTTATAGTGGGTCCTAACTCATAAGGTATCACCAGACACCGCACAAAAGAAACGTTCCATCGTCCATGCAAGGTAAGACAAAGTTACCAACGTTTATTAGACCAGGTAATGTACTAATAATAAAGGTAATAACCTTTAAATATAAATATTCGATTACTATCCGACGGGAGCTTTCTCAAAATAAAGTTAAACGGCTCATGATCCAACATTACTTATACTAGAATCCGACTACTTCAAATCTATATCATGGTGCATCTGGAAAAGCAAAGTGATTACAGGATAACAAATGGGTAGTTAGAAACTAGGAGGAAATCAGCAGAAATAGTATGTTGGTATATATAATATTGTTACACTAATAACAAAATTGTATTAGTGTAACAATGTTCAATTCTTTCCGAGACGCAGTTAATCCAGTTAAAAAGAAGCGTACGATCCTAGGTTAAGATGGCAACCTAAGTTAAAAACATGAAAACGTAAGTCAACAGAATATTGAACGAAGGAAAATTTTTGCAGCTGAACCCATAACATAATTTGAATGTTATATCTCGATTAGCTATCGTTTTCTTGAGTTTCTCTTGTTATCAGCGATTTCTTCAAATGGTCGAGTAAAAATTCACAACAATTCACCATCACAGGTGTTGACGTAGACTCCTTATATATCATAAAAAGATAAAAGCAGACGAGATTCCTCGGAGCTTATTAGCAACTCTCGTCATGAAGCGGATCAGATTCTTCTCTTCAAGTGTTCTTACACGGACCTATTGTAAGTTGATGGTAAGACACACAAGCTTTTGATCGAATGATTGTGTGTTGTATAGTACTAGCGATTAGCCTTATATTGTGTCCCTGACAATTTAATGTTGTGGAATTTTTCTGCTATTTCTGAGTTTGTTCACGATCATTCTCAAATACCCAACACAAGAATTGATCCTTTAAAGTATCTTTATCTTAACTAATCTGTGATTTTGAATTTACACTAGCTTTTCTATGGGAGCGACGAAATTCTAACCTTAATATCTCCCAACAATCCAGAATATAGTTTAATGTTACATTTAACAAGGACATTTGCAGGTTTATTCTTGTAAACGATCCTTATAATGTATCATACAGACACCGCAAGAAGAAGCTGTTCCTTCGTCCATGCAAGGTAAGGCAAAGAAACCAACGTTTATGATCAGGTCAGGTAATGACACACTAAAACATGAATATTTAAATACTATAGACCAACGGGGGCATTCTCAAATTAAAGTTAAACGGCTCATGATCCAACATTACTTATATTAGAATCTGACTACTTCAAATCTTTATTATGGTGCATCTGGAAAAGTAAAGTGATTGCAGGATAACAATTGGGTCGTTAGAAATAGGGAGGAAATCAGTAGGGTTTGATAAATTGTACCCTGCTCACTTTATATGTTAGAGAGTTAGAGCTTTATAGTTTAAATTCATAACAATTTTCAACATCACAGGTCCACTCCTTTTATAAAAGCAGACGAGAGTTCCTGAAGCTTATTAGAAACCCTCGTCATGAAGCGGATCAGATTCTTCTTGAAGACAACAACACGCTTTTTAGGATACCTAATAAGCTTATAGACGACGAAATGAAGATAATGAGAAGCAAGAAGATTCCTGTTCCAGACCAATGTAACCGGAATGCACGAGACTATGATCTTGCAGTCATCAAAATCCATATAGTAAGTTAACCACCTGAGAAAAGTGTTTATTTACTTTTTGAGATCTTCTCGCAGTATGTCTTTCTATTTCAATCGATATTTAACATTCACAGAAACTGATTACTTATTAGTGTAACATTGTTTAATTCTTTCCAAGATGCATTTTACAGAGTAGAGTAAAAGATTGCAATCCTGGATTGCGAACAAGTTATGAACAAGAAAACGTAAGTCAATGGAATATTGAACAAAGGAGAATTATTGAACAAATTTATTTGGGCGCAGTATCACTTTTTGCAGCTGAGCCCATGACAATATTTTAACGTTACTTCTCGACTTTTTTTTCGTTTTCCTGCGATTTTCTTGATATCAGCCATTTCTCCCCATGTTCGAGTAAAATTCCCAACACTTTTTTCACTCGCAGGATTTGAGGTCCACTCCTTTAAAAGCAGACAAGATTGTTCGGAGCTGATTACCAACCCTCGTCATGAAGCGGATTCGATTTATCTCGACGACAACAAGCGTACTAATACGGACCTATTAAGTGTAAGTTGATGGTAAAACGCAAACTGATGACTGTGCGTATTGTAGTACTTAGCAATTAGCCTTGTGTCACTGCACATATTTAATGTTGGGGACATTTTCCAGCAGAGAGGGTACTTTTATCTATACTTATCTGAGGGAAGAGACTGAAGTTATAATCTTAATATCCCAGAACAATCCAGGGTAGGGTTTAATGTCACACTTAACATGTACATTCGCAGGTGTATAATTGTTGTAAACCTGTAAACGATCCTAATGTATCATACAGACACCGCAAGAAAGAGCTGATCATCCTTCGTCCACACGACTACACCAGGTAAGACAAAGTAACCAACGCTTATCAGGTTATGGCACCCTAAAACATGAATATTTAAATATTACAAACCAACGGGGGCTTTTCTCAAATTCAACGGAAAAAAATTGGATTCTATTAGTAATGTTTGATCATGAGCCGCGGCTCATGATCAAACATTACTAATAGAATCCAATTTTTTTCAAATCCGTACAGCTTTACGGGGAATTTGGAAAAGCACAGTGATTGTAGAATAAAAATTGAGTTTTTAAAAACAGGTTGGAAATCAGCACGAAAAAACAAATAATGTATTATATAACTATATAATCAATTGATTTTGTTACACTGGTAATTAACTTTGTTACAATGGTAATTAAACCTGTGACACTAGTAATTAATCTTGTGACATTGCTAATCAAGTATTTGTTGTAGCCGAACAAATTTGTACATTTATAATTTCAGGGCACCTATAATTGAGTTTCTGACTTACAAAGAACAGCTCAGCAGCTGTAAAAAGACTGTATTCCCGAAGCAATGAAGCATCATGATGAGCTAGAAAGACTCTGTCACCACAATCTTGCAATCACCACAATCAATAACTCAATAAGGAACTTATATGTTTGAGCAGCGATGGAGCGGACTATTTTGAGCCAAAGTTTGAGACAATTTTGAGACAATTTGAGGCTTTCGATCAAAAATAGTTTTAAAGCCACATTTTAGATTGAAAACAAAATTTTGAAATATTGAAATTGTGAATAACCTTATTGTTATTATTTTAATTTGGGGAAGTATTTTTTTTTTAATTCTTTAAACTAAATGAATTGTAAGTTCCTAGAATCGTGAATCCGTTTATACGTAATTACTATGTTTATTTTTATTTTTGAGGGTATATTATAGGTATTAACATACAATATGTTATACACTCTAAAGTCGACTGTGACGGAGTATTTGTTTTCTAGGAGAGACGACTTATTTCTTGACCCAGTACCAAACAATGTACATTTTATTTATCATTGGGCTTCCATTCGAGAATTATGAGTATCGAAATTTTAAATTCATAAATTCATAAATTCATAAATTCATAAATTCATAAATTCATAAATTCATAAATTCATAAATTTATAAATTCGTAAATTCATAAATTCGTAAATTCATAAATTCATAAATTCATAAATTCATAAATTCATAAATTCATAAATTCATAAATTCATAAATTCATAAATTCATAAATTCATAAATTCATAAATTCATAAATTCATAAATTCATAAATTCATAAATTCATAAATTCATAAATTCATAAATTCATAAATTCATAAATTCATAAATTCATAAATTCATAAATTCATAAATTCATAAATTCATAAATTCATAAATTCATAAATTCATAAATTCATAAATTCATAAATTCATAAATTCATAAATTCATAAATTCGTAAATTCATAAATTCATAAATTCATAAATTCATAAATTCATAAATTCATAAATTCATAAATTCATAAATTCATAAATTCGTAAATTCATAAATTCATAAATTCATAAATTCATAAATTCATAAATTCATAAATTCATAAATTCATAAATTCATAAATTCATAAATTCGTAAATTCGTAAATTCGTAAATTCATAAATTCATAAATTCATAAATTCATAAATTCATAAATTCATAAATTCATAATTCATAAATTCATAAATTCATAAATTCATAAATTCATAAATTCATAAATTCATAAATTCATAAATTCATAAATTCATAAATTCATAAATTCATAAATTCATAAATTCATAAATTCATAAATTCATAAATTCATAAATTCATAAATTCATAAATTCATAAATTCATAAATTCATAAATTCATAAATTCATAAATTCATAAATTCATAAATTCATAAATTCATAAATTCATAAATTCATAAATTCATAAATTCATAAATTCATAAATTCATAAATTCATAAATTCATAAATTCATAAATTCATAAATTCATAAATTCATAAATTCATAAATTCATAAATTCATAAATTCATAAATTCATAAATTCATAAATTCATAAATTCATAAATTCATAAATTCATAAATTCATAAATTCGTAAATTCATAAATTTATAAATTCATAAATTCATAAATTCATAAATCCTTAAATTCGTAATTTCGTAAATTTATACATTCGTAATTCTTAAATTCATAAGTTCCTAAATTCATATATTCATAAATTCATAAATTAATAAATTCATAAATTCATAAATTCATAAATTCATAAATTCATAAATTCATAAATTTATAAATTCGTTAATTCATAAATTCATAACTTTATAAATTTATACAACACAAGATACAAGGGCAGGTCTCTCCCGAACGTTGGGATGGCCTGAGGTGCTTATCTCCTTTTCAGTAACCCTAAGCCACTCTGTGCCGAGGCACTATACTAGCTGTAGGGGGTTAGTCCTACGAACCAGAGAGTGTGGACTAAAATTTATAAATGGCTAAAATAAAATGATAACAATAGAAAGAAATCACTGAAATGATGAATCAGTGGTCAGTGCTGCAACTAATGAAAGTTAACCATTCGAGCACTTCATCTGAACACAAATCGACTAAAAATAAAAGCTTCATAAACTCATATAAAACTCATAATAAAGAGCGGAGATAATGCATTTGGTGACCCGAATCTACTACTACAGTACTACGGTAATCTGATGCGGAGTATCAAACAATAACACCCCCAAATAATGGCGCAACGGATTATTGATACATAACACGCCTCTCTGTTAAAGGTCGAACTGTTTTGTATCCACATAACAAAAGGATATATCTATTATACATGGTTACAGTAAGAGGTCTCGATTACCTATGAATATTAAATCTATAACATACCTAAGATCAGTTTTCTGCATATTGGAGATGCTTAAATTGCAGTGAGCTGAGTCCAGGTATTTTCAAAAGATCATGTCGACATGTCCTACAATATTTTATAACATGGTCTGTCTTGATATGGAAGTCCCACAATATATTGACTTGATCGTTGTCTAACACCTTTTCCGCCCGATATTCATACCATTACCACTTAAGTTTTTACCACTTACCACTTTTTACCACTTCTTTTACTGTGTGAAAAAACGTACTTCCTACACTGACTGCATCGTAATGCGGAAGCTACCTTGTCTTCTTCTTTTGATTGGTCGGCGTCGACTGTAAGCCTTCCTTGCGGTGGCTTTCACAACGCGTCCCCATTCTCCAACTCCTGCTGCTAGAGTGAGAGACTCCCAAGTTATATAACATAATTATATTATACATAGATATCGACAACAGACTCCGAGAGTCTTGAAGTTCTGTTATCACCGCCCCTGGTGCAACCCCTTACGGGTTAACGATGAGGAGACAGGGACTTCCAGGGAAAGTCATGGCCTGCTACATGTAACTCGTAGGAGTATGCAATGTTCATTGTTCCTGTAACGTCACTGTCGACCACTCCTCTGTCGTTGTTTTGAGTGTCCGATCCAAAAACCAAATCCTAGGGTACACGAGACGTGGAAGCCTGTGAGCGTGTTAGAGTCTGTTAAGTGTTAGAGTCCTAGGGCTACACGAGACGTCGTAGCCTGTGAGCGTTTTAAATCCTAGGGTTACACGAGACATGGTAGCCTGTGAGCGTGTAGTCCGCTCTTCTATCGTTGTTTTGAGTGTCCGATCCAAAACCAAATCCTAGGGTACACGAGACGTGGAAGCCTGTGAGCGTGTTAGAGTCTGTTAAGTGAGTCCTAGTTTGTTTTGAGTGTCCGATCCAAAACCAAATCCTAGGGTACACGAGACGTGGTAGCCTGTGAGCGTGCTAAATCCTAAGGTTACACGAGATTTGGTAGCCTGTGAGCGTGTTAAATCCTGGGGTTACACGAGTGACGAGACGTGGTAGTCTGTGAGCGTGTAGACCGCGTGTAGTCCGCTCCTCTATCGTTGTTTTGAGTGTCCGATCCAAAACCAAATCCTAGGGTACACGAGACGTGGAAGCCTGTGAGCGTGTAAAATCCTGGGGTTACACGAGACATGGTAGCCTGTGAGCGTGTAGACCGCTCCTCTATCGTTGTTTTGAGTGTCCGATCCAAAACCAAATCCTAGGGTACACGAGACGTGGAAGCCTGTGAGCGTGTTAGAGTCTGTTAAGTGAGTCCTAGGGTTACACGAGACGTGGTAGTCTGTGAGCGTGCTAAATCCTGGGGTTACACGAGACATGGTAGCCTGTGAACGTGTCAAATCCTGGGGTTACACGAGACATGGTAGCCTGGTGAGCGTGTAGACCGCTCCTCTATCGTTGTTTTCAGTGTCCGATCCATAACCAAATCCTGGGGTTACACGTCATGTGGGGGCCTGTGAGCGTGTTAGTTCCCTGCGGAAGGTGTTATTTGCCTGTGGGAAAAGCGGTTATGCTGCGGTTCTAAGGTTAGTAGAGGTTATTAGAGCCTTACCTTGTTGTAGAGAAGTCTAGTCCCTTCCTTTGCATAGGTTAGAAACACCCATGCACCTCCCGTTCGAGCCACCCACCCCACACCGCGTGGAGGTTCGGTGAGGTTTTTCGTGGGGCAAGCTACCTTGTCATACTGACTCTTGAGTCTGCAGAGAGGAGAGGAGCCAGGAGTTTTGTCAAATCTTCATGATCCATGGTTTCAATACATGAAATTTGCCGAACATAATTTTAAAAGGTCCTTGCAATTTACCCCGGTCTATTCACGCAAATTTGATTCGGATATTTTAGCGACACTAAAGGTATCCCTGCAAAAACATCCTCTAGGCTCCATGCATATTAAAGGACTAGATTCTTTGCTCGTTATTAAACAAATCTCTAGTCCCGAAATAAAATTTGCTCGCACAAAACCTGGTTATCATGAATATGGAGCATAGTACTCAGCCTCCTGAGGGCCAATAACGGACATAGAATCAAGTCACGTGATTCAGTGATAAGGTTTTATTGGATATATATTCTTAATAATTCAATTCCGAGATGGGCAACCTCCCCCAGTTAAAATTCATGCCAAAACGTCATAATACTTTAAATATCCTTGACGGTTTTAATTGCCCAATTCGACCTGGTTACTGAATAAAACATTCAAAGTGACATCCTTCTGACTCCCCTGGACGTTGAGTATTGTGTATTTAGGAGACACTGGATGATGGGTTGTACTGCCCGTTACTCACTTTGACTTACAGTATGCCCATTACAAGTTTTTTTTAACCATTGAAACCCCTATCTCGGATAGTTAAGTAACATGCCAGGGCTTTTGTATCGGATCCTAAGGTCCAATAGCAGATGCTTGGTACAACATTCATAATTTTATAGGATCTGAATTCTGATTTCATTTTTCCAAACACTCGTTTATAGTTCCCTTTAGACTTCCTCCCGTGTGACGTTTCCTTCGCAGAGTATCACTCCCTGAGATATGGGATTAGTCACGTGACATATTTTGTATGTGACGGGTAGAAATTATTTCCAGTCAAATCTCGTTAACGCTTTTATTTTTTTCTGAATTTCCAGAAGAGCAATTTATTAAAAATTTAGAAATTATAGGGAGCTTTATCAACTATGGCCATAAATAAATTGAGATTAAGTGTTTTAATTAAGATAAAGCTGCTGAAAAGAATGCACAGTAGCATGCATATTGGACTGATGTTTAAGTTATGTGAGTGAGTAAGTGTATTTGTAAAGATTTGCAAGTCATACTGCGAGATTCAATAATTTTCAGAGCCAAAATTCAAGGGAAAGGCTAGCATACAAAAAAAGGTCACCATCACACACTATAACACACTAGAACA